AATAAAATAAAATAAAAAAAAAATAAAAATATGCAACTGTTATAATAGCCATATTGCTACAGAACAGCTCTCAAAAGCCCACCCACCACTGAACAGATTGAAATCACTGCCAACATCACAACTGTAATCACTTCCTTTTGCTGGGATCAACATGGAATGTGGGGAAAAAAAAGTTTGAAGAAAAAAGACTTCGATCCATTTTTAAAAGCTATTTAGACACTTCAGGACAGATTGTTCTTAGATGCATTACATGCCTCCCAATAGGTATGGGCTCAGTGAGCTTTCCAAATGAATTTAAGGCTATGTGCTCAATTTTCATAGATTTTAACCATATCTGGTGTCAAGCTGGATCTTTGGAAGCCTTGACATTGTCATTCTGGCCCATCTCATGTAGAGGACCGAGCTGCTTTTGGAAAGGGCATTAGGTCGCTAACCTGCGTGGAGGTTTTTAAATACGGTCATAATGTTATTTTATCAAAGCAATATAAAAATGTCAATATTTCACGGTTAAACATCACAACTGTAATCATGAGAAACGGGTTTGTGAAAGCATCTCCTTCTGCCTTCAGCTTCTGGAGAGGTTACAGCTGCCCACTGCAATCATCCCCTCCTGACCCATCGTGCCTGCACTTGGGTACCTGTAACCCTGCCCCAAATAAGCCAGCGGTTTTCAAAGGTATTTGTACATTGTTGGTCTGTTCAACCAAGGGACAAGTGACAGGACAAGAGGAAATGGCCTCAAGTTGCACCAAGGGCAGTTGAGATGGGATGTGAGGAAGGATTTCTTTGCTGAAAGGGTTCTCAGGCACTGGAAGGGGTTGCCCAGGGTAGTGGTGGGGTCCCCATCCCTGGTGGGATTGAAGAGTCATGTTGACATAGTGCTGAGGGACATGGGTTAGTCGGGGACTGGTCAGTGTTGGGTTCATGGTTGGACTTGATGAGCTTAAAGGTCTTTTCCAATCGAGGCAATTCTGGGGTTCTGTGAAATTTTTGCTTTTGAACAGAGGAGGGTGGAATAACAGAGAGGGGTTTAGGAGCAAATACATGTAGAGCATGCAGCAGTAGATGGGGAGCTGGCATTACTGCTGGTGGCTGTGCTGCTGCTGGTGGGATCTCCAGGGTACCCGACAGCCTGGGGCCTCGCTGTTCCTGCCTCATGGCTGAGTGGGGAAGGTGGCTCCCATGGCACTGGCTCCTGAGCAGACCTGCTCCTGTGTTCATGATAGATCCCAATCAGCTGGAAATGCCAGTGGAGATCTGATCAATGACATCGACAAAAACCCACCCCTTGAGCTGAGCAGGCTGGGGTCCCTCCTGAGGCAGAAGGAAGCACCTTTAGCTCAACTGCAGTGGCACGAGGCAGCAGAGAGCCAGGCCTCGAGGCAAAGTTGTCTTAAAACAACTTAGGACTGGCAGAGAAAAGAAAAATAAATTCTTACTTCCTACACCTTTGACGTATGGCTGTGTTTGCATCTGTAGCCTTATCTTGACCAGGTCCACAGGATTGCCGATGCCCACGGAGACAAACCCTGCCACCACGCTGGCGAGAGCCATGTCAGCAAGTGCTGGTGTGCCGGCCGGGTCTCCGTGACGGAGCTGGCTGAGGAGCCGTTGTGTGTTGCTGAAGACACCAAACACCACGGAGCTGTAGACAGCGATGCTGGCCAGTGGGAAGGACATGCCTTTGAAGAAGCCGGCCACCTACCCAAGGAAGGGAGCAGGAGTGAAGAGAGCGAACGGGACTGAGCTGCGTAAACCCCAACTTGTCTATCAGCCCAGAAATGCAAATCCAAGTACCAGATGTTTCCTGGAAGCAACCCTTTGCACATGCTGAGCAAATGAAAATTAATTCATACTGCTAAATATTTGTTAAGATTGTGCAGAATAGGAGATATTTCTTTTTAGGAAGAAATTCTGCACTGCAAGGGTGGTGAGACACTGGCCCAGGTTGCCCAAAGAAGCTGTGGCTGCTCCTCCCTGGAAGTGTTCAAGGCCAGGTTGGATGAAGCTTTGAGCAACCTGGTCTAGTGGAAGGTGTCCCTGCTGATGGTAGGGGGGTTGGAACTGGATGATCTTTAAGTTCCCTTCCAACCCAAACCATTCCATGATTCTATGATATGCTGGAAGCACAGGAACCCATGTAAAAGTCCCTTTTATGGCCAGCTTCTTTCTTGGCATCACCAAAGTTGGGGAAATACCTCTGGTAGAGCTTTGCCAGCAGGTACAGGCGAAACAGCCACTGTGGATGTAAAACCCTGACCCCTGCAGGGACATGGGCCATGTCATTTATCCCTCCATGCCTGGGATCTGTCTTTTCCCTATAGGAGTAACCAAGAGAGATACCTTAGAGTTAAGCAAGAGAAGGCTGGAGGGATTTGCAGGTTCAATTACACCAACTTTATTGGTCTTTATATAACTGCTGGTGTCAACAGTGATTTTATACAATTGCTTTATGTATTTATTTATCTATTTGCCTTTTCTACCAGCACATTTGAAATAAGATAAAGCACTTACAGACTCGTTTCTGTACACAGTGAGAACACAGTTGAGTGTATTTCCATATCCTTGTCCAGCTTGCAAACGAGTCTGCAAAAGACATTCATAAAATGCAATTAAAATCCCATGCTTCCAGCCCAGTGAAAGCTCATGCTCCGTAAACAATATGCACTTTGCTTTGAGAGCGAATCCTTCCTCAGTTGTAAAGAAAACAGAGCAATAAAATAAGATATATATGCATCCACCTCTGCTGAACTTTGCTAGAAGCAGTGCTCAACAGGACCTCAGAGGTCTGAAGCTTTCTGCAACATCTGGAATCAATGACTGTCAAACTGCTCTCCAATCCAGACCAGCTACCCTGGCCCAGCCCAGTGCTCACAGCAGACTGGTGTCATTAGCAAAGACCTGATTTATGTGGAAACTGGAGAGTGATGTGATCTCCTCCATCTGGGGACTCTCGATGGAGGTTGGGTTGTGTTGCTGAAGGATGGAGAGGAGAGCTCCCCTGGGAGGCTTCCAGGGCCTTTCCGATCCAAGGTGGATTTTAAGAAATACATGACAGAGCCAAAATAACTGGGCTCCATCTCAGCAATTCTCCATGCTTCACTCAAAAATACATTTTTACATCATTTTCAACAGGGACATTTTGTTTCTGGAAAGCAATGGTTATACCCCTTCCAAAAGATGCCTACAACAGCTGTGAGAAACTGTGTGTAAATCACACCAAAGCCTGTATGCTTCAACATGCTTCCCCCTCTCAGATATATATGTGTATATTTATTTTTATATATATGCAGACACATTTAGATCACCTTTAATTCAAGCTGCTCACAAGTACACAATAAAAAAAAATCCTAACAAGTGTTGCATTTTTTTTGGCTTTAGAGGTGTGTGAGGAAATGGAAATCCTGTTTGGTTTGCAGGACCTGAGGGTTCAGCAATTAATCTTGGTTGAGGTCAGAGCTCATTTTTTTTTTATGGGAAGACACTCACACGTGCTCCACCAGGGATATTTTTAGGGAATGGGAACAGCATTTCTGGTTGTATCCATCAGCATTGCTGGTAGGAGGAAAGGGGAAATGAAGGCTGGAAGGTCACTACCAACCTGGGCTGGAGGCAAGTCCCTGGTCCCCTCCAGTGGCTCAGCCCCAACTTACACCAGGGTGAAGCAGGAACTTTCTTTGGGAATTTAAAGCCCAACAGAATGAGTGTCTTCCAGAGTTGATGCCTGGAGAGAGCTTCTGGGCAGCAAATAGCAGATTGAATGACACAAGGATTTGGCCCAGAACCCTGCAAGAGGTGGCTGGTGGGATGCTGCTGGGGAGCAAGATGGACCAAGTCTGGGCTCATCCCTCATCCCAGGGCTGCTCTGCACAGCCATCTGCCCACACTGAGCACCAAGCATTGCTCTGGGCTTGGCCAGAGGCCATGGAGAAGGCAGCAGAATATTTACTGAGCCTTTATAAACAAGCTGGTGCATGATGATGCCGGTTGGAGCTCACGCAGCTCACATTGTGCAACGCCGACAGGCCCAGGCCATGGGTGCAGACCTGGGCACGCCGTGACTCACCCCAGGGTAATGGGGCTAGAGGAGGGAGGCTGGTCACACCCCAGGACAGGACAACCACAGTGCACAGCCCTGTGTGCCCCCCTCTGCATGCTTAGCCCAGACATTTCCATTTTACCTCCATGGACTTGTTTTTTTTTTCCTTTACACAGTAACCAGGTATTTCGAGGTTCAAGTTAATACATTTTTTGAGTAACTGAGGGCAACTGAGTGTCCTCACAAGCTGCTCCTCACACAAACACCCCTTAGCTAAGCTACAAAGACTCAGCATTGACATTCCTGTTGGCATCTCTACCCAAGTCTGGTGACACCAGCATGGCTATACCTCAGGAAACTTTTCTGTTACATTTTAATTAGTGCCATAGGGCTCTTGGGTGACACCCAGAAACCAAAGAACAGTTTGGAGAAATGTATGCAACGTGGAGGATGAAAAGTGAGTAAATGCAAAACCCCTGAGTTTTCTATAGCTACAAGGCTGTAGAAAAACAGCTGTTTGGGTTTGATGGAGGCTACGACACTGGGAAGGGGACAGCTCAAGGAAGAGGCCTGCTTGGTGGGAACCATGGTGCAGATAGCACATACTCCATCCCTTTCATTCAGTCTTGTCCTCTCCTCCAGGAGGTGAAGGACCCCCAGTCCCCAGGATGCTGTGAATGCCACTGAGTGAAAACTCCCCCCTTCCACTTCCCTTCCTCTAAATTTGGAAAGGTAACAACTTTGCCTACTTGGTATTCCCAGGCCTTGCCCAAAGCCAAGGGCAACAGAGAGGTCAGCCTGACAGTTGTCTTTGTAAGCACTGAAGGATGGGCTGGCTCCTTCCTGGCATCCAGAAACTCAATGCTTCCCAGCAGGATCCTCTCTTGGTTGTTGGCAAAGTCCCCCAGACCTGGCAAGGACACCCTGACGAGACAGAGATTGCCTTGGCAACCCTGGGCAGAGCCTGTGGCAGCCTCACAGCTCCTCTTGAGTGGGGTCAGTACCCATCCTCGCCCAGTGACGCCCAGGGCTGATGCCACCTTAGCAGCTCAGAAAGGACAGGGCTGGTGGGCCATCTCCCAACCCTAGGAGAAGCCAGCTGTGTGCAAGGGGGTGGAGGTGATTGCTGGGGAATGGCTGTGGCATGGGCCATGCTGCAGCCTGCCTCCTCCTCATCGCCCTCCAAAGTCTCTAAGGTGCAAATAGGACCACTGACTCTTGGGTCTGCTGCATCTGACAGCCTCACCTGGTGCCAGCAACCAGGCTTGAACCAGACCAGAGCACATGGGCAGAGCAGTTAAAGCAAAGGTGGATAGAGATGCCCATCGCACTGCACAAGAACTGGATCTTCTTCTCTATCTCTACATCAGTTGGGATGGTCAACTTGGTCAGGTCAGGCTTTACTGTTGTGTGCATGGGCTTGTCTGCATCATGCTAGCAAATATCATCTTCCATCTCTAAATCCTTCCCTCTGAGGAAAAAATTGTCTTGCAGGAATAGTAAATATTGCATCTCATAGGCCTGGACTAACCATTCCAGCACTCTGCCCTTCCAGCACTGCCAGCACTAGGAAACCACGTCAAAATGTGCCTGCAGCAAAACAAATATAGTTCCCCCGTTGCCCTTTGAATACTTGTCTGTGGCAAAGTTCAATAAAACATTGGCAGAACTGTTCGTTAAACCACACAAGACGTGAGGCCAGATTTCATTTTCAGCATTAATCCTCACCAGAGGAACTCAGATGTATCAGCCAGTACTTTTAGTTTCTTGTTCAGAATGAGCATGGGAGAGGAAGAAAGGATGAAGTCTAGGAGAACATTTCTACCTAGGCTAGATTCCCCCTTGGGATGGCAGGGAAAGGGATGGTCTTTCAAAGCATCATCTAGAGAAAGGCCACCGCCCCATCGGTGGGGTTTTGGGTGGCGAGGTGACAGCACGGTTCCAAGTGGCTTACCTTGATCGTGTCCAGGGGGTGGCCCACAACCACGCTGGCAGCTCCTGCAGTTGAAAGCAAAGTATCACCCAAAACATTGAAGAAGCTTTTGTGACAGGACAGGAAGCAGTGGGTTTACAGGAGAAGAGGAGAGTTTTCCCCACAGGAGGGGCCATACTGGGACAGAGCAACGCCCAGTGCAGTGCCCTGTTTCTGACAACAGGCAAAAAGCTGGGCAGGAACGCTTGCACATCTTCCCCTGAAAACTCTTCTGGACTCCATCAACTTCACATCTCAAAGGCATGCAACTGAGAGGAGGAGGTGTTGTATTTGTATGACCTGTCCACGAACAGCCCTCCTTGCACTCTTGTGGAAGCTCATGCAAACATGTAGTCTCAAAATGGTGAGATTTAGGTTAGACACAAGGAAATGTTTTCTCCTGCCTGAGACAGCGATGCACTAGAGCCAACTGCTGATGGGGACTGTGAACTCCTTTGCCATGTTAAGAGCAGTTTATGAAGTTACCTGTCAGAAATTATTCTGATAAAGATGGTTCTGCTCTGTATCCATCTCCACAGCCCCATCCAGCTGCATTCCCTGAGGTTCTCTGGGACAAATTGGCCCATTCCCCAAAACCATCCTGCCCACCTCCCCATACCACTTGCTGCCAGGAGCCCCTGCAGAGGCTTGGGACAGAGCATGGCTTGGTTTCCCCCTTCTCAAGGAGGATGGAAGAACCCATGTGCCATGGTCAGAACATGTTTTTTATAGCAAACACTGGCAGTTTTCAGGATGTTTGTGGAGATGGTGGGTAATTTGTGCTTCTTCCACACCTGCAAGTCTCCACACAAACCTGTGTCCCTAACTGCTTTAGAGACTACATGAAATTTCTCACTTATATGGATTAAGACTGAAAAGAGCATCATAGAATCACAGAATGGTTTGGGTTGGAAGGGACCTTAAAGATCATCCAGTTCCAACAGCCCTGCCATCAGCAGGGACCCCTTCCACTAGACAAGGTTGCTCAAAGCCTCATCCAATCATGTCTTTGGCCATCCAGCCATGTCCTTGGTCAACACATTATGACTTTATTCAAAAATACGTTATAAAATGTCCCTTCTCCTCCTGGACTTTAACCTGAGACCACCTCTGGTCCAGTGCTATGCATTAGAAGGAGCTGCTGCCACTGACACTGGGACTGTTCCCCCCAGACACCTACCCCAGTCCCTGGGGTGTGTGGCAACAGCCTGGGGTCAGCGGGGCAGAGGGAGCAACTGGGCTGCAAAGAGCCAAAAACCAGCTGCTCACGTAACCTTTTGGCAGAAGTTCTGGGGGGGTTTTTGTGTGTTTGGTTTAATTTTTTTTAAGAGTCAGCTAACCCATTTACCTCTTCTCGCTGCTCAGGACCCCTGAGCCATCTCACACCCACTTTCTGAGCCTGGCTTGAGCAACAACCTGAGCTCAGCTCCAGTCTCAGCCTGGGCACAGCTCCAGTCTGGGGCTGCCAGTGCCCACCTGCAGCCCACCCGTGCACCTGATCAGCTGCTAAACCCACCGGGACCTTTCAGCTCTGTAAGACACGTCACCTGCCTGGCACCTCTGCAGATCCAAAGCGTTTCCATTTCTTTCTGCTCTCTCTTTTCTCGGTGTTTCAGCATTTCCAGCAGACAGGATCGATACCCCTCTCCCTGCCATCGGCCTGTTTGCCGGGTCGGGATCGCGGGG